ACTACTGCTACTACTGCTACTACTGCGACTACTACTACGACGACCACTACTATTACGAATACTACTACTACTACTACTACTACTACTACTACTACTACTACTACCACCACCACTACTACTACTACTACTACTACTACTACTACTACTACTACTATACTACTACTACTACTACTACTACTACTACTACTACTACTACTACTACTACTACTACTACTAGTACGACTACTACCACTACTGCTGCTGCTGCGACTACGACTACTTCTACAAATAAAAAATGACTAGTCTGGCGAAAGACCCAACCATACACGCAATTGTGAATACTGCAATTGCGAATACCATCTTTGCCCGCGCCCCCTACGTGGCCACGGCGTCACGCCGGAGCCCGACCACCTCAGGCACGCGTTTGTGACCGTCTTCGCCGGCGCCGACGACGACGAGGACGGCGCCCCCCTGACTTAGGAGCAGAAGCAGGAGAGGGCTCTGAGAGCCATGAGGGAGGCTGAGGGAGGCTGCCACTGGCGCCTTCGGTGACGCTCCTATGTGGCCACGATCCTCGTGAGGGGTGTGCCGAAATGGCCCGAGGCCGCCATGCAAACCCTGCCACTGGCGCCTTCGGTGGAGCTCCCTATGGGGCCACGATCCTCGTGAGGGGTGTGCCGAAATGGCCCGAGGCCGCCATGCGAACCCTACTACTGGCGCCTTCGGTGGAGCTCCTATGGGGCCACGATCCTCGGGAGGGGTGTGCCGAAAGGGCCCGAGGCCGCCATGCGAACCTTGCCACTGGCGCCTTCGGTGGAGCTCCCTATGGGGCCACGATTCTCGTGAGGGGTGTGCGAACCCTGCCACTGGCGCCTTCGGTGGAGCTCCCTATGACGCCACGATCCTCGTGAGGGGTGTGCCGAAATGGCCCGAGGCCGCCATGCAAACCCTGCCACTGGCGCCTTCGGTGGAGCTCCCTATGGGGCCACGATCCTCGTGAGGGGTGTGCCGAAATGGCCCGAGGCCGTCATGCGAACCCTGCTACTGGCGCCTTCGGTGGAGCTCCTATGGGGCCACGGTCCTCGTGAGGGGTGTGTCGAAATGGCCCGAGGCCGCCATGCAAGCCCTGCCACTGGCGCCTTCGGTGGAGCTTCCTGTGGGGCCACGATCCTCGTGAGGGGTGTGCCGAAATGGCCCGAGGCCGACATGCTAACCCTGCCACTGGGGCCTGGGGCTCCCTATGGGGCCACAATCCTGGTGAGGGGTGTTCCGAAATGGCCCGAGGCCGCCATGCGAACCCTGCCACTGGCGCCTTCGGTGGGGCCACGAAACGTGTGAGTGGTACGCCGAACTGGCCCGAGGCCGCCATGCGAACTTTCCCACTGGGGCCTTCGGTGGGGCTTCCTATGGGGCCACGAAACGTGTGAGGGGTCTGGCGAAATGGGTGCGGTGCGGGGGAGGAGGGAGGAGAGGAAGGAGGAGAGGAGACGCGGAGCACTGTCTCTTCAAAACGAGGACCCAACACCAAAGGATGGTTGGAAATAATCATCATCATCATCATCATCATCATCACCATCATCATCATCATCATCATCATCATCATCATCACCATCATCATCAGCATCATCATACAACTCAGGCCACTCCTACCGACTCAACTATGTAGGACGGTTGCTCCATTTTCCCGAATCCTTCCTTAACTGTTCCACTTCCTCCTCGACCTCATCCGCCTCCTCATCATTGTCCTCCTCCGCCCTGAACGCACTGACTGGCCTACGAAAAGGTAAACTTCCCTTCCGAAGTGCAGTTCTCAAGCTCTTGGTGCACATCCCTGGTGCTTCTTCCGCTCTGGAGCACAGAGAGCCTTCACCTTTACTCCAATCGGAAAACTGGCTTGTGGCACTGCCACGGGTCAGTTTTCCGATTGGAGTTCGCAGCGCCACGGATGCCACGTACGCCTACATACACACCACGACTTCTCGATCACCAGGGGGGGAGACGAGACCGCGCGGGACTAGTCGGGCCAGGTGTTGAGACCAAGGCGGTCCACTCAAACGGGCTGCCTGCGCCGCAACCCAGCGCCTCACCATATGGCAGCCTCTTTCTCAGGGCCAGCCCCAGGAGACCCTGCGACGCGCCCTCCACGGCCCTCCAGGTAACTCCTCAGAGCCGGTCATCTCGGGTGTTCGTAACTAGACGAAGGGCAACAAACGAGGCATGGAGAAACGCGCACCGCGCGCCTTTCATGAACTTCTTGGGCCCGCGGTGACAACTTAGGGGCCAGATCCACGCTCCTGCAATCCTCGATACCACCACGCTTCTAACCTCCCCGTTGCCGTCCGTCCCTGGACCTCCCCTGGGGCACGTCCTGACCAGGACTGAAGGAGGCGAGCGCCCCACTGGCGTTGACGACAACGACAACGACGACGACGACGACGACGACGACGACGATTTCTCTTCCTCCTCCTCCTCCTCCTCCTCCTCCTCCTCCTCCCCCTCCTCCTCCACCTTCGCTCCTCCTCTTCACACCTCCTCCTCCAGAGGAGAAGGAGGAGGAGGAGGAGGTGGAGGAGGAGGAGAGGAGGAGGAGGAGGAGAGAGGGAGGGAGGGAGGGAGGGAGGACGAGGAGGGGGAGGCGGGAGGAGGCAGGAGGAGGCGGGAGGAGGCGGAGGGAGGGGGGCCTCCCTCTCCCCTCCCTTGCCCCCTCCTCGTGCCTCCTCCTCCTCCTCCCGCCTGCCCCCCCCCCCCAGGCCGGGCTCACGGCCATGCTGTTTGACGGTGATGCTGGGAACCAAGGCCGCAGGACATGACGAGCCACGCTTCCCTGCATCTCCAGTCTGCGTCTGCATCGAGCGAGCACGACGCAGCGAACGTGTCGGAAAGCGCGACGCCCCGCTCTCCCACGCGGCCGAAGCCTACACCGCCGCGGCCCGCGGCGCCGCCGGCCTGCCCGGGGGCGGCCCCCTGGGGGGGACCTCCGGGGGCAGGGCCTCGCGCCCCCGGGCCCCGGCGCGGCAGCCGAGGCTGCTGCCGGAGGGGGCCCTCGCGGAGGCGCGAGGGCCCTCCTTTCGAAGGATTGCAAAAAAGAAGGATTGCAAAAAAAACCCTGGAACGAAGGATTGCAAAAAAACCCTGGTTTTTGTTTGCAATCCTGGGTTTTTTTGCAATCCTTCGTTCGGGTTGTTTGGCAATCCTTCGTTTTTTTGCAATCCTTCGAAGGAGAGAACTGGGACACACAAATCAACAGACGCAAATGGCCAGCAGATTCCTCCTATTTTCTGGGCTTTTGTCGTCCCCCCCACTCCCCATCTTTTCCCCTATGGTCTGGGGGGTCGACGATGAAGTGTGTGTCTGCGTGTTTTTGTTCCCTCCTGATGTTTGTGCCATGGGTGAAAGGGGCCGCGGCTTGCGCAGAATACGCACTTCGACTCGAGAATGGTTGGTTGGTTGGTTGGGGCTGGTGGGTGGATGCACTGTCTTGCCTTGTCTTCTCGGCATCGGTGCCAAAGGGTCGACGGCCGGCAAGGCATCTCTGTATAATGGTGCTTTGCTCGAACTCGCTGAGCAAGCGAAGGTACAGCAAGGGTTGCAGAGGTCTGGGCCGAGCCAAAAACCTCATCGCCAGAGCAAGGGTGTTGCCAATTCCCTTCGTTTCCCCGTCGAAAGCCTAAGGTGAAGTCGGGCGTGTCCCCCTACAGGGGGATATTCGACGAAAACTATAAAATACCCCAAAAATGCTCCAGAATGGTCAAAAATATTCAAGAAATCGTCCCCCGACTGTTTTTTGAGTATCTTTGAACACTCCCCCTGTAGAGGGACAGGCCCGACTTAAACCTGATGGGGAACCTATGAGACAGACGTTGGAACGGTTCCGCAGCACCGAGCCCTTCCCCCACGACGAGGGGCTCCTCCTTCGGCGGCCCGACCGCAAGAGCGCTCCCCGCAAGGAGCCTCGACGTCACGCCAGGCGTTTCCTTGGACAGTACAGTCAAAACGTATATGGGGGGAAAACAAACCTCCCTCGCTTTTGACCACCCTCGCTTCCAAGAGATACCAAACGATGCCAAATTGCAGCCTGTACTGGTCAGGCCGCTTGACGAGGAGGCGCGTGGTATGGCTTGGTTTTGCCTGGAAGCGAAAGCGGGGTAGGTAATTCACGCTCTGAGTATAGTAAGGACGCGTGGTAAGGACGCAAGACCCTTGGAGGCCGAAGTTGGAAGTATTCTGGGCGGCAGGCGGCCAAACCCCCAGAGAACCGGAGAAACTGGCCTGCGAAAATTGCTGGGGACGGGCCGCAGAGGCTGAGGCAGGCAAGGACCCAAGGGTACCCTTGAAAAAGTCGTTTGTCCTTACTATGCGCGTTGACTGTAGTCCAGGTCCAGATCTGCGAACACTCTACGAAGAGAGAAGAAGCTCCAGGAAACCGCCCAGGGCCCTGTCCAGAACGCTGACTTCCGTCAACAGAATCTGGAGCCCGCGAAAGCTGAAGCTTCCTGAGGACTTCTGATGGGCGTATGACCTCATGACCTCATGACCACTTGGGCGACGAAAAAAAAACTGGTTCATGCGAGGAGATGGCACAGCGACCTCACTCCGCGGCGCACGTGGGCCGCCGGCGCGGCACGCGACGTTGGAAACAAGGGCGCCGCGCGACCTCACGCGGGACGCTTGCGCGCCAACGTCGGTGAAGACGACCCCCGATTTCCTGCGTCGCTCAATCGAAGCTCGTCGACGGCATGCGTCGGCTACACGCAAGAGTGACCCTGGGTAAGAGTGACCTTTGGTGCGCAGCTTTTGGGGGGCCGCAGGGGGACCAAACTCAGGCGCGCAAGACGCTACTATCGCATCGTAATCGGTGATCGGGGGACCCCAGTGTGCCCGCACCAAAGGTCACTGCGGCGAAAGGTCACTCTTACGTGTAGTCGACAGTCAGCAGCTGCAGCAGCGGGGCCGGCGCCAGGACTGCACACGCAGGGAGAGCCGGCCGCCCGGGCCGGGCGGCGGGCGGCGGGCGGCCTGGC